AAAGAATCACTAAATGTAGGAAAATGAAAGACATTTGTTAAATTTTAAATGCAGCCTTTGTCTCTACTGGTTTTGCATCTGTAAATCATTTAGCCAGATGTGTACCAAACTATAGAGGAAAAAATTACATCTGTACTGAACATGTACAGATTTTTTTCTTGGGTAGCATGACAATTATTTGCATAGTATTTATATAGTATCAGTCAATATATGTAATCTGGAGGTGACTGAAAGTATTGTGTATACGTTATATGTAAATGACATACAATTTTATACAAAGGACTTGAGCCTGCATTTGGTAGGAGCATAAAACCAACAAATGACAAAAAATGACTGTGGCACCAACCTGTGAAGTAGGAAGCCAGTGGCAGATTAAACAGAAGTGTTTCTATTTTAATTAAGATTTGTTTTCATTAAAAAATCCTTATACAAGTATACTGTAGACCACTCATCAAAGAAGCTTCTTTTTGCAGCAGATGGAGACTATTACAAAGTTCCACAACTGGTCAGACACAGAGAATATATGTCTGAGAGATGCCCAGCCCTAAGTGACACATCTACAGTGGAACCTCAACACCTGAAGCTCATGGAACATAGTGGAACAGGGGGTAAAGAGAAAACTAATACATCCCTCAACTCTCACCAGCTAAGCTTCCTCATACAACAGAGTGCAGTGCACAGAGAAGGTCACAACTGGCCAAGGTGTGGAGAGTAAGAGACTGCAGAAAATGTGTCCTTGAATAGGACTCCTATATTAAACCTCGCCCACCCACAGCTCAGGGACCATTGCAGAAGAGGGGCTGGAAAGATCGTAAGAACCAGGCATGAACGTAAGAAAAATAGAGGCTTTCAGGCCTCTGGGAGCTTGTTCATATGAACTTGCAGCAATGGTGACAATGTGCAGAAGAAACAGGCTGACTTAATCAGACAAAAACCCAGCACAGAACTGAGGAAATGAGCAGGTCCCAACTTACCAGAGTAACTATTGACAAATGACTACTTTGGGGTGAGAGAGAATAAATCTTCTTCAAGAAAGTGACTCTAGATAGGCTGACTAGACTCCAGTGGAAGAACTTACACTGACAGACATCTGGGTACAAATGCTTGACCAGATAGGCCCTTAACATATATGGCAGAATGCAGGATGTCTGGTGGTATGGGGCTATGAAAGGGTGTGGATGGGGGAGGGGATCAAATTTGATTAAGATCTATTATAGGAAATGCACAAAAACTTAATAAAAATATACATTAAAAAGGAAAAAAATGTTCCCAGTTTTTATCATGACAGGATTCCTGTGCTAACTGTAAACCATACAATACTGTACATCTCCAATCTTTGAACCTAAGGGCCAGCCTTCAGCCTCCGGTCCCTCATCAGACCACCCTACCCTGAGCCCCTATCATCCTTAGCAGGGCCTGACAGGTGCTCTTTCTCACACACATCACTTTTTCTCTATACTTAGAGTTCAGACAGCCTTCTGACATGCTGTCCTCCATTTCTTGACCTGGAATAATAAATGTGGCACAGTAGAGAAATATAAGCAGTCATACATCTGCTGTGGTTTGTGATAGAGATGAGAAGAAAATTCACTATACATTCTCCAGCAAGCTCCGAAGGGAAGTCTGTGAGGTTTCTCGGGACTTTCTTGGTGTGCCTTTGCAAAGTTTCTGCGTGCTGCACTGTCTTTTCATGCACAGTATCTATGAAATTTTAGGAAATAACACCTAAAGGTAAGATAGAACTCAAGTGAAGAATTGCAGTGTGAATCTATTTTGTACCCAGTGAATGCAGCACAGTTCTATTGCCCTGTTTTATGCACTTTACAATAGAATTTTCTCCCTTTCACTCAGAAAAATTGGTCCTGCCTGTTGCCATTATTAGCTTCTCTACTTCTGTAAAAAATATCATCTTTCTTTCAATTGCCCAGGGCTTGTTCTTTTGAGATCATTATTGTGATATATATATATATATATATATATAAAAGTTATTTATGTGGAAAATTGTTAACAGTGGTTTTATGGAAACTATAGTTTAGTGGCATTGAGTACATCTTGAGCATTGTGTAACCATAACTTTTATCTACCTCCTGATCTTGTCTTCCAGAACAGAAGCTCTATACTCACTGCATAGTAATTCCCATTCCCTACTCTACAGCCTCTGGAAACCACTTTCCTTCTTGAGATCTGTTAATTTCAATACTCTTGTTATCTCCTATAAATGGAATTATGTGGTATTTGATTTATAATGGGTTTATTTACTCAGCATACTGTTTTCATCTTTCTCCGTGGTATAGCTTGTGTCAAAATTTCATTTCTAAAAAATATCCCATCCTATTCCATACTTTTGTTACCCAGTCATCTTTTGATGGACACTTAAGTTGTCTTTGCTCTTTTGGTTATTGTGAATGGCACTAGTATGAATGTGGACGTATAAGCGTCTGTTGAATCCCTGCTTTGTTTCCTTTGGAAAAATACCCAGATATGGGATTTCTGGGCCTTATGATAATTCTGTGTAAAATTTAAAAGTATTTTTATTTTGTGTATGAGTATTTTGCCTGCATGTGTGTAAGTGCACATGACCCCTGGAGGCCAGAAATGGGTGTTGCATCCCCTGGGATTGAAGTTAGAGTCAGTTGTGTTCTGCCATGTGAATTCTGGGAATGGAACTCTGGTCCTCTGAAAGAGTAGTGAGTGCTTTTTACCACTGAGCCATTGCTCTAGCCCAATTCCGTGCAATATTTTGAAGAGCCACTCTACTTTTTCCATTGTGTCATTTTCCTTCCCATTATCCTGTGGGTGGCAATAGCTCAGCTCCTTTTCCACTGTCATTGAATCTTTTGAGTACTTATAATTCAGCACAGCAACCATTTGTCAGATACCTGATTTGAAAATTCCTTGTCCCACTTTAGGGTGGCCTTTCACTCTGATGTGCTTTCTGTGTACAGATTTAATTTTGGTATAGTGAAATTTATCTGTTTTTCTTTTGATATCTGAGGTTTTAGTATTAAATGCAAAAAAATCATTACCAAATTGACTATCACCATGCCTTCCTTCATTTTTTGTAGTTTCTTCTGATAATCATTTTCTACTAAGCTTTAACAGTTACATCTTTAACCAGTTTTGAATTTATTTTTGGATAGAACATAAGTTATAAAGGTCCAAGTTCATTCCTTCACTCTTGGATGTTCAATTTTCCCATCATCATTTGCTGAAAAGTCTGTCATTTCCCCCATTTAAATGTCCTGCAATGTCCAAAGTCTTTTGTCAGGACTGCATCTTCAGTGTTTAAATTAGTAGCTGTGGCCTGTATGCTTCCTGGGCACAGCTGTCAGGGTGATGTACAAAGTGTTCCACTGACACCATCATGACTCTGCTTAGAAGAGCAGCTACTAAAACCAGTGGACTGTCCCAACTTTTGTGTAAGTATGTGTGTGCATGTGTATGTATTTCAAATTCCTAGCTCTTAAAACCTTTATTGCACGATTGTGCTCAATACATTTCACACTTTTCATTTTAAGTTGTTAAGGATTTATGTCTGTAAGCTCTTTTAATTTAATGAGATTAAAAAGCTCTGGAAATCCAAAGTCTAATATATACAGTGAGACAATCAGAAAAGTCTCTTGCAAAAATCAGTACTTGACCACCTTCACACAGCCTTCTGTAGAGCATAATCATAGGTTATGGTGTGTGGAAACAGAATCCAGAGAAGCTGACTTATTGTTCATAGTAATTAGGAAAACCTAGTTTAAGATAAAGAACACTGTTCTTCTGAAATTCAAGTGTCATATGCATAGTACATAGAATTGTGTTGGATTTTTTCCAAAATGCCAGCAGCTCTTTGAAGCTAACATGATTTGGTTGCACCGACAGATGTGAGAGGAGGTGTCTCACATTCACAGACCATTTTTTTATCTCACGAAGCATGAAAATCATTACCTCAGTTGCTGACCCCTGAATATTAGAACCTGAGAGCTCAGAGGTGCCACTCAGTTCCAGAAGCAAAGCGCAGAGTCCATTTGTGAATGAGCAGCCATTTAGCAAACTGAAGGAGGCCCATTGAAATAATTGCAGAGGCAAACAATATTGTTTCCATGGAAACAATCCTGTGAACAGGTTCATGTGTCTTGTTTATATTCCTCCTGGGCATAAATATTCTGAAATTGGTTTTGTTCTCTCCTTTGTTGCTCCCTGAGTGGTGATGAAGGGAACTTCCTCCCTGAAGAGGGTGCTGGCTCCTGAGCTCAGGGCTCTGCAGACTCCCCATCTCATTACTGGAATTGCTCAGTTCCACTGCAGGCAAGGGAAGAGGAACTGGTTTTCCTCAAAGTAAATAAGCCAATTAACCCCTGGTGCACAGTGTTGGATACTGAAACTTCTGCTTATAGAAACTGCATTCCCTCAACTTGAAACAGTAATACTCTGACTCACTCAAGTTTACTCTTTTTGACTGTATAATTCTAACTCTGCGATAGACCTCCGTGTGTGTGCCTAAGTAATAATAATAGCGATAATAATAAGCAATATTTCTATGTTTCTTTGGTGTGTGAACTTACTAGAACTTTGCTTTAAGTTCCATCATTTTGAAACAGGAGTGTTTATGCACCTCTAATAGTGCTAACATTGTGTTTTTGCTTTATAGCAAAACTTTGACATTAAATTACATATATAATATCTTATATTTTATCTCATTTCATTGCCATAAAATCAACTTAAGTAATGTAGACTATCTTTATAGTCATCTGTTGCTGGCAATTTGCAGTGAGTAAATGTCTTATTTTCTTAGAGCTCAATAAATACAAGTCTGAATCTCTCATCCTTTGAGAATTTTAAGAGGACAAGCTGGGTTTGCTTTTAAATGCAAAATAAGTCCCAAAGAAAAATCTACCCACCTGTGTAGTACAGGCCTGTAGTATTAGTGACTGAGTCATTGGAATATTGAATTGTGGTCTCCTTTTTCTCTATATCATAAAGTACTAACATACATGTATTTTTCTCCACAGTAAAACCGACGGTAATCGATGTGGACATTTATGTTAATAGCATTGGTCCTGTGTCATCAATAAACATGGTAAGAAACACCTGTTTTCTGATCTGAGACTCTTTCATCCCATCTTGCTTAGTGTCCTTGTGGATTTCTGCTTGAGATTTATGCAGGGTTAAAACCCACATTAACTCCTTAAATTTTAAGTGATGTGGCACTGATGATGGTCTATAAGAATCAGGAGGAAGAACTTGTGACATCAGTGGTGAGCGTTGTTCTGAAAACTGTCTCTACCCTATACTCACCTCCCACACAGGGGTTGACAACTCATAACTTACAGATGGGATTATTACGGTTGAGTAGCCATTCCTTGTCTGATCTCATTAATATTAAAGATACATATAAATAACAGCTTGCTATTTCCAGTTCCCTCCTTTTTAAGATTTGAGAGAGATTTGCTCTGTATTGTTGTCAGGAAAGGACCACAAATCACCAGGTCATATTTTGTGTTTGGTTTGGATTATAAAGTTAGGCTAACCGTGAGTGATTTATCTGTTGTGGGCAGAACTATAAGATCAAATAAGTGCTTCCTTGAGTATAGAGGTTTCCATAGTCTTATGAGCAAGTTGCATATAGAACTTTTTAATGTAAAAGAAGTCATTCCCAATGGAATAGTGCTTAGAGGCTATGCAAGTGAGTCTGTGTTAGGCTGTTACATGTGAGTTTGTGTTAGGCTGCTACATGTGGCCTCTGACTTGTCTGCTGGTGTAGTGTGCCTCCCTGCTAGGAGTGTGTAGGCTTCCCAGAGGAGGTTATTCATCTGCAGCCCCCAGTGATGCTGCCAGTGATGTCCCCATGACATTCTTGAGTTCACTCCTGTGTGATTGCTTCTGACTCTGGGGATGTTTGAGAGAAAAGACTGGAAGTTGCTGGCATACAAGAAGGCCTTCTCACAGCAGTGTTCAGGGATGAAGATGCCCTGCCCTCCAATCACGGGCAAGAACATTACTTTAATGGCCAGATATTAAGTGTTCTTTACTGACAGGAAGGTTCCATGGAGGTGAACTATTATGCTGTAGATACTCTCCTTTAAAAATTAAAACAATTGCAAGTGTGTAGCTCAGTTGTAGAATGCATTCTTTGCACACATGAGATCCTGTGTTCAATCTACAACACCAAAAACAAAAAGCAATATCTATGCCACCCATAAGTGGTAGCAAAGAAGTAAAATGAATAAAAAAGACTTACTTCACACAACCTGTGGGCTGCAAATGGCCTGTGTTAAAATCAAATTGAGAATGTAGTCTTCTCTTACCCGGTAAGTATTCAGCTGACTGTGTTGAAAGAGTACTCAATTCTTAATGGATTTGTTTCTTATCCTGGAGTTTTATTTGCTTACCTTTGTTGCACACATTTTGTTCAGCACATTTATGTCTAACACTACTTTATGTCTTAGCACTAAAAAGAAACAGTTCCCCTGCAGACACGCAGTACCAGTTCGCTGCAGTGAAGCGGTGCAGCATCAGAATCCCTGGGGTTTTCATGAGCTCCTGTCACTTGCTGATCTACTCTGTTCTCAGAATTTCACTTTCTTGAAGTTTTCTGTGTGGAAATCAAATGTATGAGAGGAACATGATAATGAATGACAGCCTCCTCAGAAGATGATGGCTCCAGTCAAGGCTGTACCCTCTGTGCTCAGGTGGGCAAGGTTGGCACAGCCTTCTCCAGTGATGTCATCACAATCATTTGTCAATGGGGATAGCCTGTGAAAGTGTCTAGTGTGTGATACAATTGGGGATGAGTGGCTGTTCACTAAGATACATCTACAATGCTGTTCTGTGGACCTTATCCCGGACCTGAGGGACAAAGGCCTGAAGCCATAGCAGAGATCTGAGCTTCATTTTAAGGATTGTCCAAAACAGATGCCAGCTTCGAGAAAGTGTGAAAGCCTTCTTCCACATGAGCTGCATTCAGAAAGTACCTCATGAGAATAATGCAGACCATGCAGATCTCCAGGTAACTTGTCTTCACCCTTTTAAGGAAAAACCAACTACAGGATGGCACAGTATACACTAAGGGTTTGTAATTTTTTGAGGCAATGTCTCATGTGTTCCAGACTGGCTGGGAACTTGTTATGTAAGCAAGATGGACTTGAATTTCTGATCTTCTTGTCTCTAGCTCCCGAGTGCTGGGTTATAGGCATGTACCACCGTTCTTGGTTTATGCAGTGCTACAGGGGAGAGGAGGTATCAAACCTAGGACTTCATGTGTGCTAGGTAGGTGCTTTACAGCGTGAGCTATGTACCACAGCCCTCAAAGTGATATTTAAATCTTGAACTCTGGAGTTTCCATCTAAGGGTAAAGAATGACCTTAATCAAGGGTGAGGCGCCTGCCGTCAAGCCTGACAACCTGAGCTGTATAATCAGAATATACATGATGGAAGGGGAGATCCAGTTCTCACATATTGTTTTCTAATCTTCACATGTATGCACACAGAAATGAATATAATAAAAAAATTAAAAAGACTGTCCTTATTTAAATGGCCTGACACATTTTGTGCCCACCACCAAGGAAGATGTGTAGGTGTCAGTAGTTTATAAATTCTGGGACAGACTCAAGTGAGTTAGTTTTATAACAGTGTCTGGCTCTTAAAGGTTTTTTTTCCAATTAATCCCTTATTTAACAAAGAGACATTGTTTGGAATGACTTGGTATCTTGAATGACTTGGTTTATTTGGAATACTTTTCTCAGACGTTTTGTCTCCTACAGTGAAAGGTGTACTGTTACAGGTAGCTGGCTGCCTGTTACTTTGAGAAACTGAAGCTTATCTCTAGGAAACAGGAAACAAGCTGACCCCCAGCAGATGTTTCACTCTGGTGATAGTGACATGTTTAATGCCAGCTAAAGTTGTCTAAGCTATCTCTTCATCTGATTGTGTGAGGAAGAGTAACGTACCTTGGCATAGGAGGCAGGCCAGGGCTTATTTAGAAAACGTAAACATACTTGTCCAGCTGGGTATCCACTTGTACTGCCAGCATTTGGGAGGCTGAGGCAGGAAGATATGAGTTTCTGACCATCCTTGGCTACAAAGTGAGAGCCTGTCTCCTAAAACCAAAGGCTATGGATGTAGCTTCCTTGTAGAATGCTTGCCTCAAATGTGAATAGCCCTGGGTTTCACACTCAAACGTGTAATTGCTACATTCTCTGTGGGTAGATTACTTGGCTCATTCACTGAATTTTTGCTGTTGTGTGTTGGGCCTTATGTTGGATGCAAGTGAGACAAGATGAAGAAAGTTTTACTCTGAGGTCAGCAAGTGTGTACATGCACCCAATATTAGAGTGAAGTTAGACCGGGTGCCATGTAGCCGGCAGGTAGGAACATGGCCTACCCTGGGAGCCCTCCACAGCCTTTCGAGGCACACTTAAGGATGAACATTCCATGCCTTTTAGTGTTGTAAAGTCAGAATGGCAAAGAGCTCTGTTTGCATCAGTGGATGCCACATTTATGCCAACTACAAATGGGAAGCCACACCACAGCTTCAGAAGAAATAAAATTCTTTTGGTGAAATGTGGACCTTGCAAAGAATAAAAATAAAATGAAGAAGTAGAAAACTCACTATAAGTGGCTATTGAAGATTGAGTCATCAATAAAGAAACAAAGAAATTTATGATAAAAATTAGAACAATCTAACTAAAGAATGTATTATGGGCCTGGAAAGATGGCTCAGTGGTTAAGAGCACTTGCAACTCTTCCAGAGGGCCTGAGTTCAGCTCCCAATGTCCTTGTCAAGCAGCTAACAATCACCTGTTACTCCAGATCCAGAGGGATCTGGCACCTCTGTCTTCCACAGGCACCTGTACTAATGTGAATATACACACACAGAGACACACATAAATAAAATATTTTTAAAAAAGGAATGTATTGTGGGAAAAAGCATCATTTGTAGATGTGTTCAGGGTTTCAAGATATAAACTTTTATTGGGTTTTAGACACAAAGCTGAAGTCTAATAAGCTTATAGAGTTTTCTCCAAAGCCATCTAACAATCAGCAAAGGAAGACTGTGACTGTTATACTTCTGTCCTCACTTTGGATTTTTATTGACATTTTCAATACTAAAGTTTTTGTTTCAAAACTTCAGCTGTTAAGTGAAGTGGAGCTACGGTTTAGTCTGTTGTTTAGCTGACTGACATTGATTGTTACATCTGTCCTGGAGTTCTTTCTGCTTTTCCTGGGATATTACAGGCTCCAACCTGGTCGGCATTATACGTGGATTATTCAGAACCAAGGAAGCTGCACACAGGGAAACATGTGAGTTCATTTCTGAGAATATCCACTGTAAGCAGCATTTTGGGAAGGTTTAAACTCCAGGGTGCTGTCGTGGTGCATCTGCTGCCCATTGTTCTTACTTATATTGAGTTAGGTGAAGCTTGTTGCCATCCTATATGGGGGAATTCTAGGTGTGGTGGTAACCCCAGGCTGTTCTCTAGGCAACCTAGTGGCATAGCAGCTCTATGTGCCAGCAGAGCTACTGCTTCACCTATGACTTGAGATGACAAGGCTCAGCATGAATCCAGTATTATTTCCTTTTTTAAATTTATGAGATTGGATTTTTACATTTGTTGAAAATTTGTACTAAGTAGGGAGAATTCTGCAAGTGCATCATTTACAGCAGGTTTACCCTTGTTCCTGGGCACTCTGTGACTTTGGACTACTGTATAAGGAGAGGTGCCTCTCATTTTAGAATCAGTAGCACATGCTCTTCTTGTTCTGTCCGACTCTCTAGCCCCTGGCAACCACTGATCTAATCTTAGGTCTCCATAGCTTTATTTTCCCCAAGTGTCCTGGAGCTGGAATCCTGCTGCCTGTGGCTTCTCCATGCTGCCTTCTTTTTCTTTGTTTTTTAAAGTACTGTCACATAGGGAGACAAAGTTATGTGCTTTGGACTACTGTATAAGGAGAGGTGCCTGTCATTTTAGAATCAGTAGCATATGCTCTTCTTGTTCTATCTGACTCTCTAGCCCCTGGCAACCACTGATCTAATCTTAGGTCTCCATAGCTTTATTTTCCCCAAGTGTCCTGGAGCTG